TTTTGAGTTGTGGTGGAGTATATTGAATATACTATTGAAACATGGCGGTTCAACATGGCGCACTCCATGTTAGGCGACCCGCAACGTTTGTAGGTACGCCTCAATCTAAGGTAACAAAAACAAAAACTATTCCTATATTCAGGTAATTATACACTATACACTTATACACTATAAAAACATACCTATAAACATAAACATACCCATTTCTGCTGATAGATCCTCCTAAATGTTACAAACTAGACCTTTAAATCTGAATTCTTCTTCCATGACTGTTTTTTGAAGCATTTACCTGGTAGGTGAAGCCTGTTGATTTGCCATGACTTTATATGGGTGCCTCTGCTGCCTTGTAAAGACAAACAGCAATGAACTACTAAAGGTCATGACTCAAGCTTGGATTTCACATCAACAAGTTATACCTATAATTGCTATTAAATGGCGTAACGGTGCTTGAATACTGTTAAATCTTTTACTCTCAGTTAGCAGTTACTCTTCTCCGTCGAATATTCAAATTTTGATATTGACAAAACACATTAAAATAAACCATAAGTTCATAAATATTCATGAAATCATTGTACAACCACCTCCTTTACACTTCATAAAAGTGGACATAATCTCAAAATAAATCTCACTTGGAAAAACGGTGCACATGTGCTGTAAGTTTCCTCAAAGTCAGAGCTAATAAACAGCAGATTTTCTCTTTCTGTGCCAAAACACAAACACACACGCAGGTTGAACTGACCTCCACAAAGCTGATAAATTTAGGCAGCTATTTAAAATGGGGACACCGCTCACGCAAGCATGTTGAGATCAGTTTCTTACAGTGGCTACATTAAAACAGCAGGTGTTAAATCATGAGCACCATTAATCAACGCCATGAACAGTCCCATGTGAAGACCTTTTCAACCCTCGCTCTCACCCTCACACATCAGATGTTGATTCAGAATACACAATGTGAACCTGCTCTAAAAATAACCACGTGAGTGTGAAGGATAAGTTGAACAGTAACACAGCAAATCTTCCAGTGTTAACAAGTGTTGACTTTAGTGACAGATTTTCAGAGTTGACAAGTGTTTATCGGACAGTTTATCCACTCACAGAGCTGACATGAGTCTACTTCAAAGCGTTTCATAAACTCTGATATGGAGCCGGGGGTTTTCCACTGGAATAGTTGTAGATTGCTACTTTATTTAATTATATTAAAAAAATTAGTTAGTTCAGTCCACAGAGCTGTAGCAGGAGCGCTGATTAGTCAGACTCCTAACAACAAATAACAGCTGACCAGATGACACGTCTTTAAATTAAAGTGGTCACGAGATGGAAACTGTAAATGTTAAAGTTGGAAATAAACGAGTTGTGAGATGATATTTACAACTCTGTCTCCATAAAAATATATTTATATACGAGTGTAGGCAGGTGCAAATGAAAAAGTAAAAATTGAAAACTTTTTAAAAATGTATTTTTTATTTTTATTTTTAAAAGTCAATGGTCTTTTTATTTTTTATTTTATAAAACATTGTTTTAAGTGCAAATCCACACTCCAGACTCCATGTT